CAACTGCCATGTGATTGGTTGATTAGATAATTGCATTAATGAGAAATTGAACAGGTGTTCCTAATAATCCTTTAGGTGAGTGTACATGGAGTATGTTCAGGTACTAATATAAATATAAATAGTTAGTCTATGTGGAATATGATACAGCAGTGGAAATATATACATATTTAGGACAGTGCATGCTTGTGCTAGGATGGAGAAATATACTGGGTCAGTCTTTTGACTAGTGAAAATCCAAAATGTTGCAGCCAATCAAATGCACTTGTCATTTTTTTATCTACAGACTGTCAATCTAGCCATTTCTTAGTCAAAGCTTATAAAAGATGACATTGACATCTTGAGAACTGGCAACTCTTGCACAGACTGAGATAATACTGACTTAATGGATATCCAATTGTCTCTGTGATTATTAATATGACAGCCTCATTCTACATGGCAAAGCTGCTATTTCTGATGCTGACGATCTGCTGAGTTTAATTAGTGCAAAAATGGAGTCTCACTCACCTACTACAACAGGAAGGACCTTCATGGCCTTCCTCTCCCTACAGTTGATCTTAGCCCTCGTCTTTTTGGGAGGGGCTTGCGCGTACACAGAGTCCGGGAAGGCCACTGTCTGGACTGTCGTGCTCTTGTACCCTGCGGGGAACGGGGACCCCGGCTGCGAGTAACACTCCCCGTCCTCAGCCTTGGCGTCCGCCAGCTCGCGTTCAATGACGGGGGGCATCGGCGGAGGCAGAGCCGCCAGGGGGGGCAAGGCGGCAGTGGCCGCCTGCTGCAGTTTGCGGCAGGCCAGGATGCTGTTCCGCAGCTTGGCCTTGCGTGCTTCCTCCCAGCGCCGAAGGCCCCGGAACATTCCGCAGTACAGCAGCAGCATGATGGGGCAGGGGATGAAGAAGGAGCAAACGGAGGAGTACACCACATAGTTGTTGTCCTCCAGCTGGCACCTGGAGGCATCCCGGTGTGGCACGTTATTGATGCCGAAGATGACGGGGGAAGCCACCGCCAGGGCCAGTATCCAGGTGGCCGAGAGCAGGATGACCTGCCTCTGGTCGATGTGCTTACGGTTGTAGGCGAGAGGAACAGATACCGCGATGAACCTGCCGGCATGGAGAAAAAGAGCTTTACTGTGAGCTATGAATTAGTGGTCAGCATTTTGTATGGATAATGAATTTCCTTTTTTTGACACAGAACTGAGCTACAACACCTACACACATTATGTATCCATCTTTGATGGGACCGTCCATTCATTTCTATGGGAAAAACCCTAATCCCAACAAGGACAACCTTAACCCCTACCCAGCCCTAACCATAACCACATGTAAAACAAAATACAAGACTTTTGGCATTTTTAGTTTTTAAATTGTAGTCACGTATTTTCATAAATTTGAGCTTCCCCTGTAGTGACCGAAAAAACGGTCACAATAACAGGTTTTTAATTACATTGTGGGGACATTTTCGCACACACATAACCCATACACATGCTTGTAATTATATCTTTGTGGGGATCATCTATCTACATACATACACACACACACACACACACATATGTGTTAGAAGCACACTCCCATAAAAAAATTTGTTCCTACTAAATTATGATTTGTTTTTTATCCCTTCTTAGTGACGTCCTCGGCTTGTTAATTATATGACGCTGGGTGCATTATTAATTGCATAATTATGAATCATTATTCGTGCTCTGAGCAGAGTGATACGTTTGTTCCATCATGTCATGACCTCACGGCGTCGTCAGCGGACTGCTAACGACGCAGAAGCTGTGCAGCACCCACTGGCCCTCGTGTGAAATGGCAGCTGTTGGTAGTGACGTGCGTAATGTGTTGTCCCATTTTGTGTTTTTATTCTGCTCTTCGGGACTTTGCCGAAGAGGAGAAAATAAGTGGGCCCCTTCTGTTAGAAAGCGTGGCCATTTTTCATAATCACTTAACTGAACCCGCAACCATCTGGGCAGAGAGGTACAGAATAGAGGGATGCGGCGTTTCGCTCCCGTGAGGATGTCCTTAATCAAGCAGCAAATTGACAGCTTCTCCACAACGTTACAAAGAGAAATCCTTGTTGTCTTTCTATGTCTGCCTTTTTTTAGATGGCTTGGAGGTTAATGTTCAGAGAAAAGGCTTTAAAGTGTAAATAAAACACTCATTTTAGATATTAAGACATTTGCAAAGGGTTATTTTGACCCTACTGACTTTCACATTTTGCCTAAAATACTTCCAGGAAAATACGTTTAAGGCACTATTGTGCTTTCCTATGACGTGGCTCTGCTAACAGCCTCAAAGGATTCTAGGAAGATTCTGCATGTAGTCAGAATCCAGTGCTTTTACAAGAACAAATGAATGAACGTGAAGTGGTGAAGACTATGTTAGATATGATGTGAATATGGCTGCAGTGTTAGCTCCCTTGTGTCAGATGGCCTCTGCAACTAGTGAGGGTTTGAAATCCATGGAGGGGAGGATTAGGCACTACCTGGTCACACATGTCCTTACAGCCGTCCATCATTCATAGCCAGCTATCCAGTACAAATCTGGCTCTCGCTTCCAAATCCAGGTCATGTTTTCAGTTCTCCCAGGTAGTTAGTTTATTAAGTACTGATTCTGATTGGCCAGAGCAGCTTCACACCTGGCTCACAGGTAAAGGAAGGCTGGAAAATTAGCAGTGCTACAGTGATTTGAATAGCCCTGCAGTACAGGGGCATGATGAGCATGGACCCTATAACAGGAAACACGAGGCACTGTACACTGGACAGGATGCCAGTCCATCACAGGGTCCACGCAAACGACGAGCAATTTAGAGCAGTGTTTCTCAAACCAGTCCTTGGGGACCCACAGATGGTCCATGTTTTTGCTCTCTCCCAATTCCCTGAGAGTAACACTGATTAGGAGTAACACTTTCACTTTTCTTGATCGCAGGAGGAAAACTGGAGTACCTAGGAAAAGCCACACAAACTGGGCCAGTGGGATTCAAACCTCCAGCACTGCAGTGCAAGTGCTAACCACTGCAGTTGAAATTTCATACTAATCCCATCTGTCTTGGATGATTCCAAAGCCTCACTTCTCCCTCGTCATGAACCTCAAGCACTGTTGGGGTGGAAAGTATATAGCAGGTCAAACAAAGACAATGGCTTATAAATTCAGAGTCTAGGGCCCACCTGTCAACACTGATAGCACATAAGTTGAATATGGAGGCTGTGCACAACATCACATCCATCGTCATCAGTCCGTCGCAAATCACCATGTTCAAGGCCCAGACGCCACCCTGGAACTGCAGAGAGGAGAATCAGGCCGGTCCGAAGCACAGGCGCAAGGGCTCCGCATATCCTAGAATAGCTCCTTGTCAAATAAATCATTCTCTAGTATTTTTCTTAACTTTTTTGCAAGTGTACCTGTTCAAACAACTTCTGTTTTCACTGAGATACATTTACAACAAATTTTAAGTGATGGTTCTGGTTCAAATCCTAAGAATGATGTAACTGTAATGTTTAGATTTATTGTCATGTAGTGACAATATTGTTACCAGGAATGGTAACCACCTCAGCTTTACACAAAAAATAAAATAGAGCAACGTAATTAAATAAACCGTATTTATATTGTAATTAATGGTCTTAGGTCTTAGCCCTTTGCCACTACACCACTGTCTACCATCACGGTTTCCTATGTTGCCAGTAGTAAGCAGCTAAACTATCATCTCCAGGTACTGGAGAGGGGCAGCCAGAGTGTGTGGTGGGTGTGTAATACCCTTCAGCTTCGGATGGTCTATCTGGCCTGGAACTGTACTTGGAGACCCAGAATTTGGGACAAGTATCTGTTATGGGCTGTGTTTTGGAGTGTGTGGGACCCACGTGGACTCAAGCGTTAGCTGCTGACCTATAATACACAAAAACACATCTCCTTCTTGTGTTATTTTATTTTTTTGGCTGATTGTGTGTTTGTAGTTGAGACCATAATGCCAAATTCATTGCTACCCATTGATATAAATGTATAACAGTAACAATTAAATATCTGTATATGAAATTGTTACAAAAGCAAAAAAAAAATTTTTCTGATCGTAAATAAATGCCCTTTTTAATTCCATTGCATCTTAAAAATGAACCAGAAGACTTCACAAGGCGTCAGAAAGGGTTTAACGTGTCAGCAAACGTATTTCAAACAATGGGTAGTACTCCAAACAGCTCAGTAGATTAAACAGCTATTATGACCACCGAAGTAAGTAGATAAGTGTCTGGAATTAGGGCGGCTAAGTCTGACGGACCGTGCGGTACAGCAGTTTATATGAGCCTGTGGTCCAACCTTTCAAATAAACGTCCTAAGTGCAAAGTTACTTCATCTCTGTTTTCTGACCGAGATGTTGATACGAATCATCATACCAACTTTGAGAGAATTTTCCAGTCTTCGTTTCTCAGCCATATTCTTGAGCACTAACATTCTCAAAGTGTTGGGGCTATAATACATTGTTTTACACTTATTAAAGCTAACAGACAGCCTTAATATTCTATGTATATAATTTGTAGCAGGGAAGCTCACTGGTTAGCACTGTGGTCGCACACCCCCAGCACTGGGGGTTCATATCCAGCACCTGTTCTTTGTGAGTGTCATTTGCATGTTCTTCCTGTGTGATCTGCAGTCCAAAAACATGCACTTAGGTGAATGGAGGTTTCCAAATTGCCCATCATATGTGTGCCCTGTGAAGGACTGGCATCCTGGCCAGGATATACCCCTTGTGTTGTACCTTATGTCCTCTGTGACCCTGTACTGTATAAATGACAATAAGATAGTTGCATAATTTGTGGTATTGCCTAAGGGATTTATCTAATTTACGTATTTACAATATCCTTGTTAATTGCACTGTGAATTCTTGTGTATTATTGTGAACATATTAATACATTTTCATATCCTTATTTTTCTAGCCGTCTGTATTCATAGAACTATAGTTAGTACAACATAAAGAGCGCATAATTTTTCTCATTTCCAAGTGCCATTAAACTTACAAGACCTGGAAATTTGCTAGAGATTAGATGGGAAGCGGTCATAATCAACGGTCTAGTACTATGGCCAGTCTTAACATTAAGATATGTTTAATACCATGACTTTCGGAAAAAACACAAGCAACCTTCCAAATTATACAGGATGACCGGGAAATCGCAGAAACTATCGTGTCCAGTTTGGTGCGTCCTTGATCAGACTTTTAATTCAATATTAATATACGCCTGCGCACCATCGGCGTCGCACAGACATATGTAATAATACATAATATACAAGACAATGTTACGATAGTATTTTTTGTCATGTACTCACCTCCGCATATACATAGAGTGGCAAAACCAGTATTGCCAACAGTAAGTCGGCAACGGCCAAACTGACTATGAAGTAGTTTGTTGTTGTTTTTAAAGCTTTTTCCGTATATACACTAAGGCACACGAGCAGGTTCCCGCAAATGATCACGACGATGAGCAATGTCCCAAAGACCAGAGCGGGAAGATTATAGCCTGGGTCCGCCTGCTGCGCGGTGCTGTTGAAAGCGGAGAGGTTTCGGTGCATGTCTGCAAACGGCCGCCTTCGCGCCGGTCGGAGGTCCAGTCCCCGCTCCGAGCGAAAGCGGATCCCTTGCGACGAGTTTTCATCTAGGCATATTTTCCAGAAACCCCCCAAGTGCTGGTCATCGACGAGTTTTCTTAAGACGACTGATTCTGTATCTGTGTTTTAGTTGAACATTCAGCACCGTCAGCGGGGACAGAGCTCAATCCCATCCCTACCAGCTTCCCTCCGAACAGTTATTCCAAAACTTCTAGTTGGTACTTGATTTCCCTTTTCGTGTGATCGCAAGAAAAAAATCATTAAGGTTCTAGAAATATTTCTGTTAGAATGAATGGAGCATATAAATCTCCTGTAGCCACAAATTAAAAATAAAAAGTCTTTACCTACAAGCGGAGGTACAGCATGCTTTAACCTGCAGTGCGCTATTAATGAACAGCGAAGCTGTAAAGGCAAAGCACTAAATCCAGCGGCTCAAATCTGCTTACAGCTCTGTTTACTGTAACTCGTCTCTCCTTGGAAAGGGAACTGAGGTTGGAGTGAGAGGAACCTCATAAGTAGCATCCACTAATTTCGCTTGGATCGCCCTGTAGCGCCACTAACGAAACGTGGGCTGAGGAAAACCCCTTAGTCACACAGACATTGGCTACTATAATTGTCTTACCAATTATTAACCAATTATTATTGTCATCGCCAGCGGAGACGGGCGAAGTTCCCGTCGCCCAAGGCATATTAATCCTCAATGGAGATTCTTCCAACCAATACCATTCGTGTAATGTCATAATTACGACAATGACTTGTCTGCTTCTTTAACTATTCGCGAAGATTGTAAGGATTAAAATAAGACTATAAGTTATTGAATTGTTAGGCTATATAAAGCGGTAGGTTACATGCACGCGGTGATAAAGTCAAGAAATCTACAAGTTGAGCATTTAAGTCAGTCATTGAAAGCTACATGTATTTATATACAATCTATTACAGCCGTTCGTTGCAATAACTGAATGCATTCTAAATTTGGATACGTTTTATCTCTCGGTTTATAAATTTAGTTGTTGGAGCCGGGTGAGTCTGTACATGAACGCTGTTTCAAAATACCTGTGGTCTTTCTGTCTATTAAATAAAGGAGTGCTATTATATCACAGGCACCGTCATTTTTGAACATATCGCCTTAAACTGAATTTGTGACACCCTGCGAACTGTTTGGTAAATCGGGAACACTCGCCCGATTCAGTTCACATACCATTAGATACTTTGCTGATAGTAAACGTTGCTGTAAATAGAACAATTACAGTTTGTCGAAAGACACGCGTGGAAACTATGCTGCAGTTGTTTTAAAACGTGGCTGTTTTACCTGCCAGCCAACCACTGACACACAACCGCAAGAAAATGTCTAAAACAAGTCTCGGGGGGAAAAAAGCAGAAGAACAGCATCAGTACATTTATGATCTAACTTAATTTCTTTAAACTTGATGATGGTCATTTAATAATATAACTCCTAGGACAACTAAAAAAAATGAAATCAAACCAAAGCACTGCACAATGCATGCGAACTGCTGATTTACTCACTGGAAAAAGTATTCAAGATACACTGATATTTTAATCACAGTCGCAGTACAAATAAATAAAGGATAGACGTTTTGACAGATGTACGCATCCAGTACATGGACATTCTGACAAATACAATTTTCTTTGGGGTTATCATTTCAGGCAAAATTCTTTGACTTATGCTAATGTTATGGAACCTGAATGATTCCAGATATTATTTGGTGTTTATCTTGCTCTACCTATTCCCAGAAGTGTTTTTATGTAATTTCCACTCATTCTGGAAATAACCTGAAACAATTAACCTTCATATCCTGATAAGTTTTCTACCTGAACAAATTAAATTGTTGTATAGTGCCGCCCAATAAATTCCACCGCGCACTGAAATATCTTGCATCACACTTGTCGTGCGTTTATCTTTGTATCACGGTTCAGACGTCTTTTGACGAAGATAAATTTAATGTATAGCAGCCTAATAAATGTATGCAATAATACCGGGTGTTTCTGGGAAATGCCACTGCAATATGATTAGCGTGCTGCACTGGCACATTATGCAACGGGTCAGTATCATTTCAGCATTCACTTCTGCTTGTGTCTATTTTATTAAAATTCATACTCCTCACATAGGTTTATAATTTACAGGGCTAGAAGGGTGAATTCTAGTGTGCCTAAAATAAAATGACTTATGGATAAAACAGTGCTACTTGAAGTGCTTGAGTTTACGTTGAGTTTACGTTTTTGGTATTATTTCATGATCTTTTCCCTTCTCAAAGTCCCAATATATATTTCAGGCCAATTTACGCTTTGGTAGTCGTCAGGCTCCTCTTCATTCCCATCACTCTGTGAAGCTCATGTTACTGTCTGATCTCTAAATGGAGGTCATCCTCACCTTGTAAGTTTTGAAGCTCTGAGGAAATTGATATCGATTGCAGAACTGTATTTAATTTCATACAGTTTTTGTGGTATTTTTGTTTCGTCTTCTCTCTTCTTCTCCCTTTTTGACTTTACTCAAGGACACAAACCTAATAAGCTAAAATCTGCTGTTTTGGCCATAACATATTCCTGGAAGACCTATTATCCCGGTCAGCTGTAACACATTAGAAGAATTGTTTAGTGAATGTGCTAATTGATTCTGCTGTTGGCTCAGGTGGTAATATTCTAGATCCCTCTATTACCTTATTCTCTGTCTATCTCCCATTAACCACATATTTCACATTTAGTTGAACTAGTCTGGATCAATTTCTAAACCAGGGTTCTCCTGCTCTGGTTGTGGAGAGCTACTACCCAGTATAGGTTTTCAACCCACTATGCCTGCCAGGGGTACTCCCAGGATAGGACACCATTCCAGGGACATACACACATGCACTCTGCCACACAAACTACCAATTATTGATATGCCAGGATTTAAGCCTCCAACCACAGAGGAGTGATACAGCCATACTAACTCACTGTGCAAACTTGACCCTCCCATTTACAAAGCAAAGACATTTAATTGTAATGTGTTATTTTCTCTGCAGTATGTAATTGTATTATATGTAAAAGCATATAATGTTAGCATGGCCTGGGGGGGCTGGGCAGCCGGTTGACCTTGGACCCCCCAAGGTGTTTTTCTCCATACTTCTCTCCTCCATTGTGATCTGACATTTTTTTTCTTTCATTTCTTCGTCTTTCCCTTTCCCTGTTTTTGTGTTGTTCTGCCTTGATCATGTACTGTATCACAACACGCCCATGTGAAGCGCCTTGGCGGGACATGGACACCACGTTATCTTTTAGGAGCCTGACCACTGTGCTTCTGGGCTGCTAGGATGCTGTCACCAAGCAAGTCACCGCTCATGCTGCGAGCGCCTAGTGTCCTCCTAAGCAAAGCTCAGAAATGGCTTCTTAATCAACTGCCATGTGCCTTGAGATTTGACAGATGTGTTTCCCCAATTTCCATGACTCAAGTTTCCATAATTTTTACCCATAATCCTGCATGCTGATAATTTCTTGTTAGGCCATATAAGGAGTTTCTGTGATCTGCTATTTAAATGCGATAACCACTTGTCCCTTGTTTCTCCTGTTAGGACTGCTGTGGACAGCAATGCTCTATTCCTCTGTTTTTCAGGCACTTCTCTGCCAGTGGTGTTTTCAGGCCAATGTGATGGATGTTTCACTGAGCACAAGGCTGGTCCCCAGCTGACAACTCGCTAAATATTATGAAGGATAAGCTTGTTGGTGATTGACAGCACCAGGGGGAATATATTAGCAAACTGGTTGCATATTAGCAGTGCAACACCACAAAGTGTGCATTAGCTGCTGACCTCAGCTAAGGCATCAGAGAGTCTTTCTCTTCTCCACTGTGGCACTTGACAAATTGCTGATGCTACCAGTCAGGCTAAACTTCAGAATCCTCATTAGCATATTATTATTAATTTACTTGACATTTTTAGCCAAAGTGACTTACAGTAAAGAGAAGAACACAACTTATGAATGCTCCTTGGGAGTTGAACCCACAACCTTTGCAATATTAGCACACTTCTTGAGCTACATGCCATCTTTTTACTGAAATGTCCTCAACTAACACCTCCCGGAAGTGACACATACATCCAGGAAGTGACACATACATCCAGGAAGTGACACATACCACGAGGGTCTGACGTAGGTGGTTATACAGGGTGTTTGTGTTTCAGAATTTCACAAGAATCAATAACTGAAATAACTGAAGTAGCAGATTATGAATCTGAAACAAATCTTGCATGGAAAGAATAATACACAGAAACTAATCTTATTATAATGGATATACTGATTGGATTTATTTTCACTCACTAAATTCCTTATAGCTTGTGCTGTGAAAGGCTCAGTGACACAAATTCCCTGTGATGCTGAGGTGGTTTATAGTCCATCGCTCAAAGCAGCAGAGACCTTTTACTGTGACACAAGAGCTCTCGGAGGGAAAAGCGCTTGTAATAAATATCAGTCTGGCATCATCCCTAAGTTGCTTGAGGATATGCAGCCCAGTACCAGCCAATGCAAATAACTGTCAAAGCAGAATGAACAGAATCAAACACATAGTATTAAAATTATTTTTTGATACTTGATAAATCAAGAGACGAAATGTGGATGGAAATAAATTAAACAGAGTGCCTAAATGCCATCTATCCATTTTCTGTACCTGCATGTCCTATTCAGGGGTGCAGTGGTCTAGAGCCTATGGTTAGGTTAGGATAAGTTAGGTTAGGTTAGGATAGGTTAAACTTTTTTATTGATGGGGAAATTAGCTTGGGCATAGTGCATGGCTGCTTTATACAAAAACACATTACAGAATATCACAACATAGAATGAGAGACAAAAAAGAAATATATATATACTCTGTGGAATAAATCGCCTTTTGCTCCATTTATGGGCAGGGAATAAGCTGGGATGGGAAGCAAATTCATCACAGGGCACATTCACCATTCACACCTGGGCAACCTTCATTCGCCATAGCATGTTTTTGGACTGTGGACAGAAGCTGAGGGAAAACCCATGAGGACATGGGGAGAACATGCAAACTCTACACATGGAATAGGTCAGAGATGTAAACCCTGTTCACAGAGATGTGAGGCAACAGTACCAACGACTGCACTGCACCACCCCACCACCCTGAGGCAACAGTACCAACAACTGCACTGCATCACCCCACCACCCTGAGGCAACAGTACCAACAACCGCACTGCACCACCCCACCACCCTGAGGCAACAGTACCAACAACTGCACTGCACCACCTCACCACCCTGAGGCAACAGTTCCAACAACTGCACTGCACCACCCCACCACCCTGAGGCAACAGTACCAACAACTGCACTGCACCACCACACCACCCCAGAATGTTAGAATCGTTTGGACATTTCTCTAGATGGATAGCATGTCTATTACAATTTCATCAGAGTACCAAGATCCTATAACCGTAAGTGCCTAACCAAATTTTCTATGGTGACATGAACCACAGATGAGTAGATTTTTAATTGTTTTTGTTCTAGATGTATCAAAGAATATCATTTGCGTATTTGCAAATAAATTTGGAAGTTTTACACATTACAGATATATTGACAACATTCTATACATTTTTTGCAGTGAAGTCCCTAACTCTTTTGATGAATTCTGCACTTTGGAGGAATTCTGCATGAATGTGGAATGTTCTGGAAGGAGCTGGGGTGACACTTCATCAATCATGAAGAATTACTATAACAAACTTGTAAGTCTGTAGATGGCAGGAGAGAATTAGTTCTGTAACTGGCAGGAGACACCTGTGGCTTTATCATTAGTCTTAATAGACAGTAAATCCAGTGCAGTGGAACTCAAGGAGATGGAAACTGAACTCCTCATGGGTTGATATCATCCAAATTGACCACACAATTCCATTATATTTGTTTACCACCAAACTTGTCTGTTGTTGTTAACTGAAAATAAAATACATATGGTAACACTGTCATACCTATTAACAATTTAAACTGGATTGTTGCCATTGTAATTATTTTAATCAACGTCATATTAAAAGACTGAAAAACAAGGCAGACTTAATGAAGAGATTTGTGAAAAGGAAGAAATTAGTAAAT